TTATATATAATAATTAAATTAGTAAATCAAAGCTAAAACTATTTATTAAAATAGAGTGCAATCGATCCAGATAGAGTATTTCTAGTTTCCGTATGGATGTTTGTCTATAGCTAAAAGAGAGAGCTTGAGTCTATTGTAGATGAATTGTATTTATTGTGATGCTTCTTTTGTCGAATGGAATTGATTTGAATGTTACTTACATTGCGTTGCAGGCTTAGGTTTATAAGTATGTCCTTATTACAGTTACAAGTAGGACTACCTATAAATCGTCTTAAAATTCTGAACTATGAAATGGATTTGATTTTGTAAGCGCTTTAAATATATAAAATGACTTAACGAAAGATACTATAGGACTCGTTAGATAACTATCGAGTGATAACATTTTATATATTTTTTGAATTCACACAAACTCCTAAAGCTACTATATTTTGTACTATATTTATACATTTTATTATTAGTAATTATTATTGTATTAAATTCCAATTAATACACGTCTTTTACTTGATAGCCTCTGAAATCGTAATTAAAGTAACTATGAATTTTCTTGTTTAAATTTAGTATAAGTTCAATGGACTAGTCTCTCCACCTGTTCATTCTTTTATCTCGAGGCATTTGTTACTGAAATTTCATTTCCAATTGAACTCTTTAGCAATCGATCAAGCGTAGTGCTTTCACAGACTTTAATTAGTGTCAACAATTGTGGAGGGGAAGCTTTCAGGATGTTCCAATTGGGCGTATGGAAATGCCATTACGTGGGCACTTGTAACGGTATCTGTGCACGCATTAAAAGTCAAAAGTCATGAAGCGTTATTAATTTGCATATTACACACTCTCTATATATATATATATATGTATATATGTATCTGTCCCTATCTATAGCTGTTTCTATCGCTCTTTCTCTTTGCAGATTGCCAAACCACAAAAACAAAAGCAACAACAGCAGAGCTAACAAAGCAACTTTACACACACCCACACATAAACACACACACGCACACAGACACACCCACACCCCCACACACCCACACACATATAAACACAAACATTTGAGCAATGTGCTGCCTGCATCTGAAGAACTTTAAACGCGCGACTCGTGTGCCCGCCCAGCGGTCAGCAAATTCATTGCCCAAGTGCCACAAGAGCTAAAAAGACATCAAATCGAAGCTTAAAGGAGCAGCAGCTGGACTTTGTCAGCCAAAACAACAACAGCAACAACAACAACAACAACAACAGTAGCACCTGTAACATACACACATATATATTGACAGCTATCATTCACACACGCACACACTCTCACACACTCACACGCAACTCGAGCGGCATGCCACGCCCACTGGTGGTCAGCCTGCTRTGGCTGCTGCTGCTGCTGGGCGGGCCGTCGGCGTGGGCGCAGCGACCGCTGCTGAATCACACCTTCAACTCGCTGCCCATGTCGCAGCACCAGAGCAACAGCTACAACAACTACAACAACTATCAGGGCTCAGGCAAGCAGCTGCGCAACGGCCGACTGCACGAGCAGCCGCAGCCGCTGCCGCTGCCGACGCTGCCGGGACTGGCCCAGCCCGTCCATGTCTACGACGACTACGAGGGTGAAGCCAGTGCGGGCACCTTTGGCTCGCGTCCTCCGCCCGGCAGCCGGCGCGACACGCGTCGCCGCCAGAATCTGTCGCATGTGGGCGCCGGCGGGCTGCCACGCCCCGAGCGCGGCAATGGGCAGCGCGGCATAGAGTCGCTGCGCAAGGAGCTGATGAAGCCGTCGGTGGGCGGACCCGGCGGCGGTATCAGCGGCAAGAGCACCGGCTACGCCTCCTACTCGGCCACCTCGTCCATTGGCAAGATCGATGGCCTGGGCGGCGTGGGCTCCGCCGATCGCTATGGGGAGCGACTGCGCCAGCCCCCCGGAGGAGTGAGCGGAGCAGCCGCCATGACTGCTGGACCCTATTCCACACGAGTTCCGCCGTTGTACGCGGGCATGGACAGCCAGCCGATGCGCACGTACCCGCGCAAGAACTCCATCAGCGAGCTGCTCAAGCTGAAGAAGAGCTTCAACCAGGCGGACGAGCCGGTGCGCAGTGTCACCGATGGCAACATGGATGGCGACCCCGACGGCGATATGGATCAGATCGACCCCATACAGCAGATCAAGGAACGCATACGAGACACAGCACCCAAGCCGGTGAGTTACGCAGGGCAACGCCAGCTCCTGCGAATCGAGTCCAATTTAACATCCCTCTCCTTCCCCACATGCAGAACACCTATGCTCCACACACGGAGTCCACGCCCTCGACGGAAATCGAGGATTTGCTGGGCGTCAAGTGCAACTTCGAGACGCCCTGCGCCTGGGAGTGGACCGAGAACCTGTCCGATGGCTTCCAGGTGATCAGCGGCACGGAGCTGGCCAAGAAGAACTTGACTGGCCTGATGCCGGGTCCAGTGGCCGACAGCATAGACGATGCCAATGGCCACTTCCTGTACGCCCGGGTGCTGCCGAGCACCCGCCAGCTGAACCTGACCTCGCCTTCGTTTAGCACCACGCTGGAGCGCTGCTTCCTGGAGGTCTACATGCACCAGAGCGACATGAGCCACGGACTGTCGCGGGTGGTTGTGGAGCCGCTGCATCCGCAGGAGAGCAGCTGGGTGCCCGCCGAGATACAGGGCGACAACTTCCGCCAGTGGACGCACAAGCTGTTCCGGCTGGGTCGCATTTCGCGCGACTTTCGCATCAAGTTCGAGGTTGTGCCCGAGCTGAAGCCGGGCCAGAAGGCGCATGTGGCRCTGGACAATCTGCGCATGGTCAACTGCTTCCCAGAGGGCACCAAGTCGGAGAAGTGCAGCACCTCCCAGGTCAAGTGCATGATGAACAAGGTGCCCGTCTGCATACCCCTGCCGCGCATCTGCGACATTACGCGCGACTGCGACGACGCCGAGGACGAGCTGCAGTCATGTGGTGAGTAGTTCGCGGGCCATTAGTCCATTCATCCATTATCGCCAGGCGGGTGCAATAGTTCAAGCTCTCTTATCTTCTATCGCCTCGCAGACAAGATACCCTACGGCGGCCGCTGCGACTTCGAGGAGGACTGGTGCGGCTGGCGGGACTCGGGCAAGACCACATTGACCTGGTCACGGCACACTGGCTCCTCGCCCACCCACGACACGGGCCCCGACGGCGACCACACCCAGCAGCATCTGCTGAACACCACCGGCGGCTACTATATGCTCGTCAACATGAACCAGCACATCAACAACTCTGATAAGAGCTCCATTATCGGCTTTGCCAGCAATGCGATCATGCTCAGCAAGACCTTCAATCCGCCGCCCTCGGTGCATGGCAACTCGGACTCGCCCTATCGCAACTCGTGCGTGGTGCGCTTCTACATACACCAGTTCGGCAAGAATCCGGGCAGCATCAATCTCTCCGTGGTCGAAATGAAGGAGAAGGAGAACATCACCACCACGCTCTGGTGGAGCACCAAGAACCAGGGCAGCGACTGGCTGCGCGCCGAGTACGTCCTGCCCAACATTACGGCCAAGTAGGTTCAAGYTGACTYCGATTCGCTGGCAAGCCCCATTAAACTAAATTTGATTGATCTTCTTTCAGATACTATCTGCAATTCGAGGCACGCATGGGCATGCGCATCTTCTCGGATGTGGCTGTCGATGACTTTTCGCTCAGTCCCGAGTGCTTTGGCCTCAACATACCCGAGGAACATCTCAATGGGTACAATTACTGGGACGTCAGGCACAATCTAAAGAGTCCGGCGCATCACGACTTTGAGCATACAAACTGTAAGTGGGAAATCTGCTTAATAAATTGCTTACCATTTAACACTCTGAAAGAACAACATTGAAAATGTGAAAAATAATTAAAGTCATATTCGACTTTATAGATCAAATTATAAGGCATTCAAATAAGGATTCTTAAACAAACCGAAATTCAATTCAATATGTAATTATTCGTGTTAATTCACGCAATGCAATTCAAAATATGTATTGCTCGCGCAATTATTATTTATTTTCAAAGATCGATAACTACGCCTAGTTTGTGTTATCGATTAAAAATATCAAAAATTAGTCATAAAGTTTAATGTCCTACATTTTTAGAGCTAGAGTCTTACAATTTTGTATACAGATTCGTATTTAGTTTAGAAAACCTCGATTCTTCCTTCAGAGGATTAACAGAGCAATAAAGTGGTATAAAAGTGCGTTAGATATGAAATGGAAATCCGAAATAAATTAAGGACTTAAGAATTATTTCATTACTTTTATTATAATTTTTTTTTATGACAAGGTTTTAAGTCTACAAAATTTTATATGAATCTAAAATAAGATGTTATATTAGATTTGCATCAAATAATTTCCCAACTTACTCGATATATGTATATACTCTTTATTCTCTTGAATGTTTACTAAAATTGATGTAATGGAACTTTGTATGATTAAAGTTGTAGTAGTAGTAGTTTTATATAGGACACTTCAAATAGGGAATGATCTAATGGACTTTAATTGAAAATGAAAATTATAGTCATTGGATGTTCTGAAAATCGTTTGAAGGGTGGAGGGATAATTACTGAGACAGTTTCACATGAGGAAGTGGGTGAATTAGTGATAGGTGTGGGTGGGTGATGATTTAGTTGTAAAAGGCATAGTACATACTAATATCAAAGCAGCAGCTCCAGGTGACTAGAAGTGTAGTTTAGCTGATTTAACGCTCGATGTATTTTTCTATTACCTCTTACAGATTTAGAATTAACGACGTGCGATACGAGAGGTATGATAGGACCGACACAAGCGCAATGTGAAGTCGCCTACAAGGAGCAGAACCAAAGCCATGTGCTGCGCGAGGTGCACGTCGTGGAGGATCAGAGCACCTACAAGGGCATGCAGAAGTGGAAGGTGCCCAACGAGGGGCACTATACGTAAGTTACACATAAATACCAATGCGGACTCACCTAAGCCCAAATGTTTTCATTGCAGCATCATTGCCAAAGGCGCCAGCGGTGGCCTGGGATCGGGTGGCGTGGGCAGCTCGCGTGGTGCGGTGGCCGTCGCAGTGCTGGAGCTGCTCAAGAACGAGGAGCTGTACTTCCTAGTTGGCCAGCAGGGCGAGAATGCCTGCATCAAGTCCATGGGCACGCACAAGGAGGCCGGCTGCGGCGCTGAGCACGATCTGGACCTGGGCCAGTACAGCTTCCGCTCCAAGCAGGACATGGTGAAGAACATTTACATTGAGAATGGCGCTGGCGGAGGAGGCGGCGGTTCCTTTGTCTTCCTGCTCAACCAGGCCAAGAACGAGGCGGTGCCGCTGCTAGTGGCCGGCGGCGGCGGTGGCCTGGGCATTGGCCAATACATCGACGAGGACTTCCAGCACGGCCAAAAGGCAAAGCCGTTGCAGGCGCCCGAGAGCGGGCAGATCCATGGCGAGCCGTTGAACAAGAAGACCGCCGGACCCGGCGGCGGCTGGCGCGCCAAAGAGGATCAGGCACTGAGCCCCACCTACGGCGCGGCACTGCTGCAGGGTGGCCGTGGTGGCCACTCCTGCTACGTCGAACTGGCCGACAATGGCACCACGGTGCACAGACACGGCCAGGGTGGCTTCGGCGGCGGCGGCGGGGGCTGCAACACCGGCGGTGGCGGTGGCGGCTACGCGGGCGGCGACGTCTACCTCAACGAGTCGAACGGCGAGGGCGGTAGCTCCTACATCAGCAGCAGCCGCAGTCTGCGCGATGCCAGCGAGATCTTTGCGGGCGCCAGTAGCGGCTCAGGCGCCATCATTATCATTCCGGCCATTGAGGGCTGCGGCTGCGACTATCGCTGCGTTGCATTGGACGAGTACAGGTCCAAAGTGCGCTGCATATGCCCGGATGGCTGGAGCCTGAAGCGGGACAACAACACCGCCTGCGAGCGACAGGAGGAGGCGGGCAAGTCATCCTTCCAGTACCTGGTCTCCATCTTGATGGTCTCCCTGGCCGTGCTCTTCATCTGCATTGCGGCGCTCATCTTTATGCTATGTAAGTCGAAGCTGGCATTCCCATAGGGGAGCGCAGCTAATCAACCTGGACATTCTTCTCTTCTAGACAATCGCTATCAACGGAAAAAGCAGGCCAAGCTGCGCCACAAGATGCTCGTGGAGCAGGACCTGCAGCTGAGTCGCCTGCGCCACAACATCGACGACTCCAATCTGAACAACTTCAATCCCAACTATGGCTGCGATGGCATACTCAATGGTCACATCGATGTCAACAGTCTGCCGCAGGTGGCCCGCGAGAGCCTGCAGCTGGTCAAGTGAGTCCACCCTGATGCCTGTCCATTTACATAGCTAATCCTAACACTCCCCTCCCCTCAGTGCACTGGGCAAGGGCGCCTTCGGCGAGGTCTACCTGGCGCTCTACCGCCATCGGGACGGCGATGCCGTGGAAATGCCTGTGGCCGTGAAGACACTACGAGAGGATCCCAAGCGCGAGAAGGAGGAGGACTTCCTCAAGGAGGCAGCCATCATGGCCAAGTTCAATCATCCGAATATGGTGCATCTCATCGGCGTCTGCTTCGATCGCCAGCCCTACTACATTGTGCTCGAGCTGCTCGCCGGCGGCGATCTGCAAAAGTTTCTGCGCGAGAATCGCAACACGCCGGAGCGGCCCTCGTTGCTGACCATGAAGGATCTGCTGTTCTGTGCCCTGGACGTGGCCAAGGGCTGTCGCTACATGGAGAGCAAGCGGTTCATTCACCGCGACATCGCGGCGCGCAACTGCCTGCTGAGCAGCAAGGGTCCAGGTCGAGTGGTCAAGATAGCTGACTTCGGCATGTCCCGGGACATCTACAGATCGGACTACTACCGCAAGGGCGGCAAGGCGATGCTGCCGATTAAGTGGATGCCGCCGGAGGCCTTCCTCGATGGCATCTTCACTTCGAAGACGGATGTCTGGTCATTTGGCATATTGCTCTGGGAGGTGTTCAGCCTGGGTCGCTCGCCCTATCCCGGCCAGCACAATACACAGGTCATGGAGCTGGTGGTGCGCGGCGGACGTCTAGGCTCGCCCACCGAGTGCCCCGTGTCCATATACAAGATCATGGCCGACTGCTGGAATCCCACGCCCGAGGATCGACCCACTTTCACCAGCCTGCTGGAGCACCTAACCGCTTGCACCCAGGATGCGAGCATCATGAATGCCCCGCTGCCCAATATACTCGGCCCCACGGCCGCTGAGCGCGACGAGACGGTCATCCGGCCGCCCAATGGCGAAGAGTTTTGTCTAGCCGTGCCGGACTATCTGGTGCCGCTGCCTGGCAACGGCGCGCCTCATGCGCCCGGAGCAGCGGGCTCCTATGCGCCGACCGCGCAGCGCCAGCAGAACGCCTGCACTCCGCCAGCTGTTACCTCACCTGCCGCGCCCAAGCCCGCCCTGCCGGAGCAGTTGGAGGGCGCTGGCGCCCTGGGCGGCGACTGCTGGGAGACCTCGTTCATCTTGCCCAACTCGAAGAGCGATCAGCCACTGCTCAGCGCCGGCGCGGTCACCACCATAGCCAGCGGCGACTCGCAGCGGAATCTGCAGTCGTCCGCAGTGGCCTCCGCCATGGCCACGCCCATTCTGCGCTCGCCCACGCACAGCGACGAGGCGAAGCTGATTAGCTTGGATACGCCGCAGCCGACGCCGACGACCATACAGCCGCCGCTCTCGTTCGCCTCCCAGCTGGACGGGATTACGCTGGATCCGGCAGCTCTGAGCAAGAGCCTGGCCAACGGCGGGGCAGGCGGGGCAGGCGGTGCACCGGTGGCCGGTGCCGCCAACGGCAGCGCCAAGCAGTCCTATGCCAATGTGCAGGTGCAGCTGAAGGGCGAGCAGGAGCGGGAGTGCGCCAAGCTGAATGGCAGCCTGCCCACGGGCAATGGGGCGATCATCAATGGGGAGACGGCGGCTGTTGTAACGGTAAACGATACGCCCTTCACCATACAGGGCTACGCAGAGCGCTACAAGGACAACAACAATCATTCCGAAATCAGTTGTTAGGGCGAATCCAAGCACCTAGGCACAAAGTGTTTGGGAAGAAAGCAGAAAATAATTAAATAATAAAAAGGCAGCAACGGCTTTGAGCTTTCGATAAATCCGTTATCGATTAATTGTTGCATCGTATCTTGTTTTTTGGGACCCAGGTCCACTCACAATTTGTTTGAAAGCTAAAAACGCATGACGAATATTTAAAGAAAACAAAATGAGAAACAAACACGAGTGAGAAGTTCACAAAATTGTATTGTAATTTAAAATTTAAAATTTGTATGCGCAAAGCACACACCCACACGCAGACACACACACACAAAATTACAAGTGAAATGAGAAAGAGAAACAAATTATAAGAATTAGTTGAAAGTTAGTTTTAGTTTTAGTTAAGCTTAGTTTTTGTAAGCCGTTAGTTTTGCCAATTGCAAGAGGTTGTATATAAGTATATATGATGTATTTATCTTGATTTTGCTGCGATTATAAATTCAACTCTTTTTTTTTTTTTTTTTTTTTTTGATACACTTATTATTAGTTTAATTTTGTAAGCTGATGACTGAAATGCTAAACAATATTCCTAAACAACAACAAATTTGCTTATATTTTATATGAATACTCCAGACAACAAGAACAACAACAACAAAGTGTACCAACGCATATAGTCATTTATTAATTTATTTTAGCTACTTTTATTTTATTTTCTAAATAAAAAATGCAACGTAGTCCATATACAAACAGCGAGTATAAAAATGTTATTTTATTTTATAATATTTTTGTTATTGTTTAAGCTTGATTTTATTTTTGTGTTTAACCTGTAAATAAAAGCTTCCGTCGTAGCATATGAACTTACGTATTTTATATCTAAGCTAACTGTAGCATGTAAAATATATATACACATACAAAAAATATTGAGAAAAATTGAAAAAATAGTAAAAAAAAAATACAATTTACAGGGTGATTTTTATGAAAATTCAGTTGTATGTTTGAAAAACAAAAACAAAAAAAAAAAAAAAAAAAAAAAAAAAAATT